TGGTGTTGGTGAGCCTGGTGGCGGGCGTTGCTGCTCTCGCCCTGTTTGGCACCATGAAGCGCTTTGACCTGCTGCGGGTGGAGATGTCTACTGAGCTGGCGGGCCTGGACAACATGGAGCACGGGGGGCCCGCGTTCGAGTGGACCGCGACAGCGCCCGCCGGTGACGAGCTGCGGCCCCACAACGGCATAGCATGACGCATAAGTGCGGCGCCTCGCGCCGACCGCTGGCAGTGCAGTGGCTGCAGAGAGCCGCCGTCCATCACCGCGCCAGCATTTTGCAGCGCAAGCACCAAAGCACAACTCAACCCAACATTTGCAACCCAATCCGCTCTGGGAGGGGGCATCGCCACTTCCACTGCAAACCCCGCTTTGGAATCGGATACAAATCAGTTAGCGGCGGCCGACCCCAGCTTAGCAGCCTCTGGCTCACCTGCATTGCAAGGCGCGCACGACCCCAGCGAACTGGCAACGTCCTGTCCATGCGACTCGAGAGAACCCTTTTCAGCCCTTTCACTGGTTGGGTGGTGCGTGGCGCCCGGCCTGGCGGCGCTTCGCACATTGTTGCTTTGCTGTTTGGAAGAAGGCCGCTCTTTACTTTGCTGAGTGGTTCATGGAGATGTGGGCGTGCCTTCATGCTAACGCCGATGTGACAGCGTGCTGCTCGTTTCGCGAGCAGTGTCCCTGGAAACGCGCAACCCATCGGCAACCGCCCCGCGCGGCGCCCTCCTTCCACGTTGTCGTCGTGCGCCAAGCCGCTTGCCATGGCCCCTATGCCCAACTTGAAGCAATGCGGTCTGACTGCGATGCCATCAGCACAACCTGAGCGGGATCCGCCTTATGCCTCAAGTCTCGTGGCTGGCTCATCACGACCCACACACTTGCGCATGCCCATGCTTGCGCTGGCCCCCAACCCAATCTGGCCCCCAGAGTTTTCTTCGCGCGTGTCCCACTGGTGCACGCAATCATGCGCTGCCAGCGCCGTCAGCGCCGCCAGCCGAGGCACCCTCCCCCTTCCCCCATACCCTGGGTGTCCAGACGCTCTGGAGGCCCCTACCCTTGCTTCTAGGCACGCAACGGCCTCTCTACTCCCCACCAATCACCCATTTTGGCCCCTTTGATGTTGGTAGGTGCCTACCCAACATCATCGAACCTGCACACGGCGATGCCGCCTGCTCAGGCACGACCTCCCCCTCCCCCTTCCGCCACGCGGAAGGCAGCAGCATCGGAAAGCCTGGTTCGGAAATCTATGATTTGTGAGGAACGCCCAGCTGCGTCTCCTGGCTTGCTTCTTGCAAGAGCTACACTGTCCTCTTGGGGGTTTTCGTCATTTGTTGGGGGGAAGGGCGCCGCTGCTCCCGCTCAGACTGCAGGGTTTGTTCATACCGGTGTCCGCCACTTAGGGAGTGAACCCTTGATGCTGGCAAACGGTGATGGCCCTCAACACTCGCAATGTTTGAGCACAAGACATCTGTAATCCCATCTGTTACGTCCCCGGCAGCTCATTTCTCGGTGAAACTTCAAGAGCCCCCAGTCGCAGCCATCCGCTGACGGCCCAGCAAGCAAGGTGAAAACATTGAGGTTACTGTGACGAGCCAAGGTTCCCCGGCGCAAAACCACACGACGCTGCACGCTCTGCGAGCACAGCATGGGCGAATATGGACAGCCATCCCTGCTCCGATGCCAGCGCCGCCAGTGACCTTTTGAGACCCTGGGTTGCACCATGCACCGTGTGGTGCAGCATGGCCCCCAGGGATGCACCCTGACTCACTGGCACATGCATCTGCTGCACACGGCCTTGTGAAATACCCGCCTCAACGGAAAACTCAGGATAACTACACTACCACCTACAGCCGCCACTACCTACACTGCCTGGGCTTCAACACCCCTCAGTATACACACCGCATGGTACCCTTTGCATGCTAGACTGAACACCAGGATGAGAATGCCGACAAAGCGGCAGCAGAATGGCCCCATCATGTGTGGAGAAGGCCTGCAATGTGGAACGCTGCCATCACAGCAGAAGCCACCACCACTAGCACCACGTGCCTGCATGTCAAGGCAAGGCCCCTGAATTGTGCCCGCTCATCCCCATCTTTGCGCAGCATCACTTGACTCTGCCTTCCTGCGCCATGCAGCACACAAACAGCCGCTGCAGACCGCGCCACCGCCGGTTCAGCGTGGACGACGGGCGCGCCGCGTCCACAGTGCTGCGCTCCCCGGCCGCAAAGGCCCGCAGCGGCTCCACGGGGCCGTCCGCCTCCACAGCAGAACCGGCCGGCAGGGGGAGCTCAGAGACGGCGTGGTTGGGGCGCGGCAGTGCGTCCGCATGGGACCACACCGCGGGCTGCGGCACCGAGGGGCCCGTGCTTGTTTGCTTGACAAAAACGCCGCCCTGGAGAGGGATCGGCGGCGGGGGGCAACGAGGGGGGTGGTGCTGCAGGGTTGGTGGGAGAGGTGCCCATGGTGGCCTGGCGTAGGCTGCCCAGATCAACCGCGCCGCGAGCCGGCAGCCTATGCCCGTTCGCAAGCCAACTCGGGCTGAGCAACCACCCTGATTGCACAGTGCGCGGCCGCTCCCCCCCTCCTCTACGCGCCATGCACCCGTCGCGCCCCGCCCACCTTGCCCAACAAGCCTGAGCTGTCCTCGTTTGACGCCGCGTGCGCCGCGGCCGCAAACGGCGACGACGCCGACCCCCCGCTGGCGATGGTGGCGAGCCCGGCGGCCGCCGCGCGCAGCTGCAGCGCAGCGGGCCGTGGCGTGCCGGCCTCGTCGCCCTCGTCCGGGCCGTCTGCGATGTCGGCCAGGGACCTCTCCCTGTCGCGCGCGTCGTCGCGCGACGACACGCTGCTGTTGGAGGCGCGGCTGAGCGACACGGACGCGCGCGGCGTGCTGCCACGGCTGGCACTGCGCAGCGCCATCTCGTCCAGGGGCACACGCCCCAGCTCCTCCGCCCACGCGCTGCTGCTGGCCCCACTGTGCAGCCGCAGCGACGGCAGCGCCAGGGACGGGCCTTGCGCCAGGTCACCCGCACTGGAGGGGCCGTCCTCCGGGATAATTGGGGGGATGTCACTGGCTGCCACGCGATAGCTGCAGCTGCGGCCGCTTGCCAGCCGGGCTGCTGCAGAAAGAGGCGTCACAGGTGCTGCTGTTGCCGGCTCCAGTGAGACCGAGCCGTTGAGCCGGGCAGGGGGGGTCGCCGCGTCCTGAGGGCCGCCGCTCACGGCGGCCCCGTCAGGGCGCTGGTGGTCAGCTCCCGCCACCAGCCCGTCCATCGCGCTGCGCAGCTGCTCGCTGCTCACACCACCCGCGCCGTGCGGGCCGCCGCCCGATGAGGTGCCGCCGTCGTTGCAGCTGGCCATGCTGCGCAGGGGGGTGTTGTGCGGCGTGACAAGCCCGCTGGCCGGCGCGCCTGACGAGGGCCCCTCGCGCTGCAGCCGCGCCGCCGCCGCAACCGCTGTGGCGGCCTGTGCGGCGGCGGTGAGCGGTGCGCCGGCGCCTGGAGAGCTGAGTGACGCGGCCGCTGAGAGGCACAGGGGTGTCGGCGGCGGCGTTGCGGGCTGCGAGCGCACAAAGGGCAGCACGTCCTGGCTGCTGGCCCGGCTGTAGGCGGGCGTGGGCGGAGGCTCGCGCAGGCCGCTGCCCTCGGGGATGCGCGGCATGGGCGTCCGCGCCTCGTCGGTCGACACGCCCGCACTGCTGCCGCTGCCCAGGCTGCTGAGCCGCGCGGGCGTGCGGGACGCCGCGGCCGAGGCACCAGCCCCCGATGGCGGCGGAGCAGAGGTGGCCTCGTCATCGCTGGCCAGCCCGGCCCCCGAGCCAGACCCCTGAGACAGCGCAGCAGTCGGCTCTGCGAGCGAGGGGCAGGGCGTGATGGGCGCCAGCCGCCGCCGCGCGTCCCGCCCGCCCGCGCCACTGCCGCCGCCACCGGCCGCCACCGCAACCGCCGCGGCCTCTTCCAGCTCAGCGTCCTCCGCCACCCCCCGTGCCAGCACGGTGGCAAAGATGTCGGCTGTCAGAGATGACACGTAGCCCGCCTCGTCCACGGCAGCAGGCGCCGGCACCTTGCCGCCACCGAGCCGTGCCCAGCCCGGTAGCCGCCAGCGGGCGCCTGCGCTGTACTTGCGGGCTGGTGCCTGGTCCCTGCCAGCGTCAGCGCTAGCGTTAGTGCCGACGCTGGCGGTTCTTGTCGCCGCTGCTGCAGCGCCGTTGGCCACTGCCTTTCCGCGGCGATGCGTATGCTGATGCTCGTGCTGCGCATGCCGCTGATCTTTGCCTGCCATCCCGCCTGCCGCCCCTGGTGTGAACGCCACTGCATCGGCCACCGTCACATCATCCGCTACCAAGTGCAGCCGCTTGCGAGCACGCTCGTCCTCTAGATGTGCGTCATCAGGATGAGGGTGCTTGGCGGCGGCAGCACCGACTGCGTCGCGCGCGGTCTCCATTGCACCTTGCAGCACGAGCAGTGAGATGCGTGCGCGCGTGCGCCGGCCGGTGAGGACCAACGCCGGTTGCAGGGCTTCGATATTCAGCTGATACGTGCGACTGGTAAACCACAAAGGCTGCGGAGTAGAGTGCAGCTTGTGATAGGAGAGCCTGGGCGGGGTCGCAAGCTGGGTTGCACACCTTAGAGCAGCGCTGGAGGCTTCTGTGGGAACTAAGAGATGAATAGTGAGCGCGTGACGGGCCCTCGACAACGACTACACGGCTGTGGTGTGGGACATCACCGAAAGCTCTCGGGTTGTGGTTATGGCTCCATATGCAGTCCAGGAAGAAGATACACGATATGAGCTACGATGAAGGGCGCGCACGCAGCTCTGGACATCTGGTTGGCAGGAGCGACGGCGGCGCGGGCGTCACTGCGAGTAATGGCAGGTGGGCATGTATAAAAGAGAGGGGGACCTTCAACGTCCTGGCTCCATACCTCAAGTCAAGGCGCGCATGATTTGCACAGAAACTAGAGTGAGGCGATGTGCTGCACGTGACACAAGAGTGCTGAGCTTGGGAGCTGGGCAAAACAGTCGCCCGGCACCGGCTTGCTGTCGCTGCCAGGGAGTAGCTGGCCAAGCTCCCGCTGGACCACTTGCACCCCACGAAAAGGCTGGCAGCACCCAAGTGCACACAAGTGGTCAGGTACTTGCATATTTGAATATGGTCCTATGTCAATGCTGGGGTGGCGTTGTCAGAGATGTCACTGAGGTGTTTTGCCTAGTGGATGGAGAGGTGCCAGCAGGAGGCGTCTTCTGGCCTGCAACCGTGTGCGTTGCTCTACATCATTCAAAAAATCCTGGGACACGCCATGCCGAGCTAAAGTATATGTCCTTTCATTGGCCTGAGAAGCTCTGAGATGAATTGATTTGCACAAAAAACCCAAGCATGCTCGCGCAAAAACCAGTTGCGGCTCATGGCCTGGATCGATACCGCCTACTTGCTGCAGCCGCCACAGTGGCCTGCCAGGTGGCCAGCCAGTGGCTTTGGTGTCTGCCACATAGTGGGTGTGCATACATGGTGATCGTTCGGCTGCTCAGAGCACCCCGTATGCACTGGTTTACCACCAACTTGGACCTGCTCAGCCTTCTGCACAGGGACATGTGACGAACGGCAGCTGATGCCCTCGCCCCCAATTCTGTGAAAAGTGGCATGCATGACGGCTTCGAGCCCCTGACACCCGCATGTGCCCGCCCCTTTCTCTCTCACCTCTCAGTACCCCTCTCTGTTTGTTTGGCAAAAGAGTGAAGGGAGGTGGCAAGGGTGCGCGGCCGGAAGAGGGCATTGGCTAGGAAAGTGCAACAGCACTTCCTTAGTCTGTGGCATCGATCAAGGCACACCAACACCAATGGCTGGATCAACCCCCTTCACGCCTGTGTTCCTGCGCCCCTATTTCAACTTCTACGCGGCAAGCACGTCGCTTTTGTTGCTGGTGGAGGGCGCCGCCCAAGGGGCACTGCGTAGCACTGCGCAGCCCCCTAACAACCTGCTCGTCTACGTGGGCGAGGCAAGCCAAAGGTGGCTTTTAGTCCTGAGGGCATTCATGAAGCAGCCCCCAAGCGCAGTGCACATCTAGCCGCTGTGACGCTGCTGCAGTGGTCTGCACGAATGGCCAACAGCGCAATGGTGCTTTTCGGACGCCACAAGCCCTGTGGGCTGCCACAAGCCCCTTTTGCACTGCCGTGCACGCCCGTTTTGCATGGCCCAGCTTCCAAACATGCATGATGGTTCTGCAATGCCACCATTGCGGTTTCCCCATTTCTTTGCCAGCTTGCTTGATGGATGCCACTTTCTGACGGACCTTGGTATCCAGAAACACTGGAACACACGCATCTGATGGACGCCTGGGCATGTGCATGCAGATGATGGCTGTGGCTTGCACTTGCAGTCGTGCTCATGGCTCACAGCAAAGATTATTTACTTGTGTGATTGAAGCAGGGCCCAACACCTCCTTGCCACCTCTTCCTTACCGTCCCAGAGCCAGCACCAGGGCGGTGTTCTCGCCAGTGCAGCGCGAGTCGATGTACTCAACAACCTCAACACTGCCTGCCACAGTGCCCTGCGCAGCCGGGGTCATGGCCCCCGCCGCCGCTGCCAGCTCAGCCAGCCGTGCCGCCCTGCCGGCATCGATGAGCTGCTTGCAGCGCAAGCCGAATGCCATGCGCTCCTCGCGGGTCTCAAATATGTCGGCTGGATGGAAGTTCAGCGGTAGGGCACATGCGCTGGTGGAGCTGGCAGGCGCATCGCCACCGCCACCAGTGCTGCAGCTGCCGGCACCCTGAGAGTGCACACGGTCACCGCTCTGCTCACCCTCCTCACCGTCCAGCGCTGCGCCGGCCGGTGTGGTGTGGCCGCAGAGCGCCCAAGAGGTGCACCATGCCAGGACTTCAAACTCCCAGGGCGCAATGCCGAACGCGGCCAGGAACCGCTTGCCCACATAGGTGCGCCAGCAGCAGCGGTGGTGGCAGCATGTCGCAATAGCTAGGCCGCGCAGTCGAAAGCACCTCGAGGGGCCTTGCCCTGAAGCCTCGTGTCCATGCTGTGGCAAGCTGCCCTGAGCTTGGTGCTGCTGCTGCTGCTGCTGCTGCTGGTGCTGCTGCTCCCTTGCCAGGGCAGTAATGCAGGCCCGGAGCGCCATGTCCGTGGCAGCACCACAGAGATGCTTGCCGTGCGCGACCCAGGGCACCAAGTCACCCAGCGGCTGCAGCGGTGGCAGAGGCACCGGCGAAACGCCTGTGGGCAAGCGGGCACCCTGCCGCTGCTGCTGCTGCTGCTGCTGCTGCTGCTGCTGGTGATGGTGGTGATGTTGCTGCTCTTCCTCCTTTGCCCCATGCAGCTGCTGCTGCTGCCCCGGCAGCCGCTGCTTGCACTGCCAATACTCAGGAAAATCTGGTCTCTGTGGCCTGGGCGGCCTGACCAGTGGCGCAGCCGTGTCGGCGTGGTGCATCAGCAGCGCTGTGGCGTCCAGGTCGGAAAGGTCGCAGGCCACTCGCGTGAGGGCTGTGTGCCGCAGCCTCCGATCCGCCTTGAGGGTGAAGTTCACCTGCCGGTCCAGCAGCACCAGGCGCCGCGCCCCCGTCTGCCCCGCCAGCCAGGCTGACAGCCAGCCCTTTCCGGCGCCCAGCTCCACAAACACGGTGGCGCAGGGCTCCGCCAGCAGGCCCACACGATCCATGTTGGCCACGAGCGATGCCTGGCAGGGCGCACAGGGATCGAACGGTCTCATTCAACAGGATGTGAGCGGATGCCCTGCCAAGCGCCCACCACCTCTGGCATACCATGACAATTGCAACCGATGTCCCCATGACATGGTGCCCACCTGCTGGAACACGTGCTTCGCATTGAACGGGTTCATAGGGTCCGCCTCCTGGAGGTTGGGAAGGGGGAGAGACACGGGGCATCAAGTGGGAGCATAGCCGCGGAGGGGTGGGACATTGGCTAAAGAGATGCGATAAGCGAGGGTGTTGAGGAGGATCACGGTAGCTCGTGTGGCCGACCCCACCACGCGCATGAGCTAGTGACGGACGGCTGGGCGGCCAGCCGTAACAAGGTGCGCGTGCGCCCTTCTCAACAATTCACGCTGCTCCAGCTGGCGCGACCCACCATGCACGCCCCTGCCAAAGCAAAGCCGTCGCCCAGGGTGGAGACTCACCATGGCACGAGAACGCAGCTCGCTGTCATCCTCCGCATCAGCGCCCCCCAGCACACGCCGCACCCGTGGGTGGGCCGCCAGCAGTGCTGCATGTGCCGCGTCCGCCTTGGCCACCAGCGCCAGCAGCGCCTCGCGCCCCGCCATCACCCCAAGCTGCAAGCGCCGGCTTGAGATGCCCTTGGCAAAGGGGTCAGCCGCAATCGCCTCGTAAACGTCAGCCAGCGCATGGCTGGGGGCGCCCCCACCATGTGCGCTCGCCCTATAGCCGTTCAGCCCTTCCTCAATGTCGCTGCCGATGTTGATGCCTGGTCGGTTGAAGGGCTGTGCCTGTTGCGAGGCGGGTGCGGGGGTAAAGGTGTGCCAAGGGGCGTACGAGAGGCGACGAGTTGTGACAGTGCCCCAAAACCGGGCCGCCTGGGCCACCGCGAATCATATCATTGCAATCGTCACGGCCTGGTGGCGTCCCCGTGCTGCTGCAGTACGCTGCGCTCTTGGCTGGCGCCCACCTTGACAGAGGCGGCGACCTTAGCACTGGTGCACTTGCGCAGGTGGCTCTCCAGAGAGCTCACAGCCACCGTGCTGGGGGCCACAGGACACAGACAGTTCCATGAAATGTGTGAGGAGGGGTTCATTTGCACTCTGCACTTGGGGGACAGAATCAAGCATGCGGGCAAGCACAACACACGGCAGGCTGAGGCGACTCACTGGCGTGGGTCAGCCGGGCACGGCACGCGGCACTCGGTGGCTCCCCCATGGTCGTGACAGAGGCTTTGGCCCGGAGGCGTCTTTTTGTTGCAGGGTCGCTGGCGGTGCTTGAGCCACATGGTGCAGCCGCCGGATTTCTGCCGAGTTGGCTCAGGCGCCGGAGGTGGAGCAGCGCCGGGCGCTGCTGCTGTGGTGGCTGGCGCAGCCCGCGCTTCTTCCTGATCAGCATTCATTGAGAATGTGCGAAAGCTTTGACTCTATTGTGTTCAGCAAAGACCAGGACTTGCTGCGCTCGCCAAAGTTGCGATCTTGTGTAAATTTTACCGTAGCATTACTGCATACTCGTACAGCAGGCTGACTCATGTATGATAAATGAAGTCGTACTCAGATGACGTACGGTATCAGCTGCAGTCGCAACAGCCAGAGCAAGCGTGGGCACGTGCGCATCTCTCAGCGCGATGACAGGTCGATGCATGGGGACCGATGCGCCAGCACATGAGCACCCGGTACTGGCAATCACTGTGCGACATGGGGCAGCAACCGCATACATATCCAGTAGAATGCCAGCTATCAACACCACAGAGGCGGCCCTCGGCTGCTCGCTAGCACACTTCCTGCTGTTGACTCTCCTGCTCATGAGCAGGCAGCCCGCCAAAATGCGCGGCCACGTGCGCCCGCACCATCGCCTGGGCGCAGATTGACTGATCTGGTAACACCATTTCACGAGTAATGACGGAGTTTTGTCAGTCATAGGCGGAGGGACACACAGCAGTGAGCGCTTGAAGGAAACTTGACTTGCGCGCTTGATATTGTTGGCCTATGCGCTGAGCGCAACGCCTCAGAGTGGGCACGAATCGACCTTGCGATGCAAACCCAAGGAAGAAAACTCTTTGTGCTGGCATACTAAACAGCACAGATAGAACCCAAGTATGCTGAGGTTTGAGTTCACGGCCCACGCCTGCATGGATGGCTCTCTGCTGGAACGGGCCATGTAGTGGTGCTTGAGGAAAGGAAACTACGCCTGCCTCTACCATGTCCTGGAAACAAGCCCCAAAGTATATAAGGAAGAAATTGGTGTGCACTCGGTGCAGTATGATGCTGGACCCATGCCAAATGTCATGCCCACGGTTTATGCTGGCAAGGCAAGGACTGCCGTTAAAGCTCATTCATGGCGGCATGGCCAGTGGTAAGATCACGTTGTGCGCTACGAGGATTGTTTGGCCGTGCAATGGCACACATGTGACCGGCTACCAGCATCAACGTCAACAACATGCTCGCACTCCGAACATCCTCCCGACCGCACGTTCCAGCGCGCGCAACTGGCATACGCATTGCAGGCTGAACCCTTGGGGCCTTGCCGTGTGAACATGCAGCAACAGGTTGCCGCCTGGCTGCTCAGTACTCCATCCGCTGACTACTTGCGGCGCGTACTGGCTGTGGTGCCGTTGCTCGACGACCCCACTGTTGCGCGCGTGCTCGTAGGGATCAAGGCCGCCACCACCGCCGCCTGATCATCATGTGCAACCTTCTTGGCCGCAACCACGTAGTTGGTGCTGTACAACAGGTAAGATGCCGGGAGGGGTGCAGAGCAGGTTGAGGACGAGCGCGTCTTGAATCAGGTATTATCTCTACACAATGCAGGTCCATGGCCCACCCAATACTGTTCCTAGATCTGGCGCGGCCAAGACCATCAGCATTCACTGCACCCATTTTTGCAGCCGAGCGCCCCTTGCAATGCAAGCCCCAGCTTGCCTGCGAATGTTGAGAGCATGCTTGATAACCACCACCTGTGGAGGGGGAGTGGCGTCCACCAAACCAAATTGTTGCGGTAAATCAATTGATTGAGGATGCCAGCACAACAACAAGCAACGGCGTCAGCAGCACAGTCGGCTGCCTCCACAGCAGCATCAGCAGCCGCCGCAGCAGCCGCAGCAGCCGCAGCAGCCGCAACAGCAGCAGCAGCTGTGGTGCAGCAGCAGCCAATCCATGCTATTTGATGTGACTGCAAGAACATGCCACCAACCAGCATTGGCACCACAGTGTAGAGCCACACTCCGATGAAGAGCCACAGGTATGAAGCCACGTGCACCACCACGCCGTGCAGGGTGTGGGGGATCGTGGGACTCCGCATGCCGTACAGGTGGCGCCGGCATGTGTTGCGGGTCACCTCAAAGCACACCAGCACTGTGACCATCAGCAGCAGGTTCGCGCGCCCCATGCCGTCGATGACGGCACGTTGCAGCGGGTGGTTGTAGCAGGGCACACCCAGCGTGCCCAGGGCGCCGTACAGCATGGGCAAAAATATGTAGGAGATCAGAGACACAGTGGATACGAGGTGCGCCTCCCAGCACCCAAACAAGACCATGAGCGATCGCCAGTTGCAAGGCATGCTGCCGCTCGCCAGCTCCCGCAGTGAATAGGCCGTGTCAGCGATGCCGCGCATGTGACGCTCAGACTGGAACAAGCGTTTGGGGGTGGTGGCACTCGCATTAGCAGCCACTCGCACGGGAATGGGCCACTTAGTCAAGTTTGATAAACTCTGAACTTGTTGCAATGCATGGGCAACCCTCAGGAGGGCTCCGATTGCATGGGTTGATAGGAGAGTAAGGAAGACGTGCTGCTGCTCCCATGTACCCGTGGACCGTGCTGCCGCTGCTGTTGATGCAAGCCATCCATGAAATTGAGGGCATCATCATCATCCTCCCATACGGGCCTGCTGCCCACACCCTGAGCGAGCTCTCTTGCACCACGCCTCTGCATACCTGCGTGAAGCGCGCCTTGCAGCTGGCAAAGAAACCGTCTGCGTTGACGTGCCCCATGTTGATTGGGGCGAATATGGGGTAGAGCCGCGCCGAACCATGTGTCTTGGAGTAGGCTTTGATGAAGGTGTGCATGTCCTCGCCAATGGCATCCGGCCTGCGTGGCAATCGGGGTTGGTTTGGGTTGGGCACACTTACAGGCCTGGTCAGGATCTGGAAGGTGTCGGGGCAGGCAGGAGCGAGGAGCGGTTTGGAGCCAGGGGTGTTAAGCAACATGCCACCGAAGTCTGCAGAGCATTAAATCTGTTCAAGGTGTGAAGGATACTTATAGCTGCATGCCAATCCGCCCCCATTCTCTTCTGGGAGCCTGCAGCCTGCCGCCTGGTGGGGCACACCTCTGGACCCGCTGCGCCCAAGACCCCGCACCACGTGTCCCAGTAGCCCATGGAGGTCGCCAGGGCCAGCGACAGGCTGTAATTGGAGATGGGGAACCCCACCCCTGTCCAGTTGTTGAGGTTTTGCATTGCAAGTGCTGCCCAGGTAAAGTCGGTGACGCGCACGAGGCTCGGCACCTCCGCGCCGTTCTGCTCAAATAGCACTGGTGCCGCATACACATGGTCGGCCGCGCTGCTGCCCACGTCGGCCGTGGTGGCCTCGAGCTGTGTCACGTAAGCGGGCGGCACCAGCGCGTCCGCGTCCATGATGGTCAGCAGATAGCGCGCGTGGTCCGAGGGCGGCACAGCCGCCGCAAACTGGCGGACGGCCGCGTTGACGTTTGAGGCCTTGCCGGGCATCTCGTTGACGGGATCAAGGGAGTGCAGCGTGAAGAGGATGGCCTTGAAGCGAAGGCAAAAGCGCTCCTGCAGCTGCACCGCCTTGCGCTCTGCCGCAGCCTCCTTCTCCTCCATCGCCAGCAGGATGGTATAGTGGGTTGCGTGGCGGTGCGATGCGAGGCGGTCAAGCGTGGCGGCCAGCACCTCCAAGTCTTCACGGAAGTTTGGGATCACAAAAACATGGCGCCATGCCGGCGCGTCGTCCACGCGCAGCAGCAAGTAAGATGTGTCGTCGCCGCACTGATTGCCACAGCCACATGCAGGCGCCGGCCTGCCACCGCAGCAGCTCCCACAGGCGATGCTGACAACACCACTGGCGTCGCCCAGGAACGCGTCGCTGCCAGACGAGTGTGGCAGCACGCGGGCGCGCAGCTTGCGAACAGCGCTGATCATTCGCGCCGCCTGGCCGAAGGCATTGAACAGGTTGATGCTGGTGAAAAACGCCAGGAACCATAGGGCGGAGCCGTTGGGTGTGCAGGGCGCCGTGACGACGATCGCCACTGCTGACAGCACGATCACAACAATTAACTGCTTGTATGCGTAGAGCGGCGGCTCCGATGACAGCTGGATTGAACGTGGCGACATGTCGCCGGCTGCTGTGGGCGCGCCCATGCTGCCGGCGTCTTGGTTGCCAACAACGAACACTCCTGATGATGACGCGCAGCGTCGCCGTTTGTGCCGGCTGCACGGTCTGCATGGCCGCCGGCGGCACGGTAGAGCAGAAATAGTAATAGTTATATTATGTGTGATATGATGGCTGCTGATAATAAGAAGCCAGGGGCACGCAGGAAAACACGAGTGCATCACGAAGTGCATGAATTGGCGGGATGGATTGTTGCATGATCACTCACCTGCTCCAGCCGCCAATCCAGCTGATATATTTGACGCACGCTTAAGAATAGTTGTGCCGCTCTGGACTCCGAAATCCGCAGATCAGTGTCGCAAAGTCAGCGGTCAGCTGTCACTGCATCATATATGTACCGCGAGTATTCCGAAACGCCACAGTGTATGATTTATTCTGTGCCTCTACCACGCACGACGTTTGATTCGACATACGGTATGCCCAATTCTGCGGGCGCTGCGGCATCGTGCCATGTGACCAGCCCAAACATTGCCGAAATGGATTGGTGGCACCATGTGGTACTGCCTGCTGCGTATCCTTAGGCTGTCAGCATGAATAATCAGTTTACCCATGAAATAGCTTGTGAGGTGCTTGGGGCCACCAGGGCATGCCTGAACTTACAGTAGAGAACGCTACTGTAGATGAAGCACCAAAATGGGCTGTGCATGAGCTCTGAAGCCTTGCCTGGAATCATGAGAGCAAATGAGTTCGTTTGAAAAATTTGTAGCCTGCAAGCAGAGCTACGCACCGTGGGCGTTGCAGGGGTAGTGGCTATGATAATGTGAGTGCGCAGTGCAGGACCGTAGTGCAATGCTCGTACTGGGGCCTTCATCCAATATTGCTGATCCCCTCTTCATACACGTCTTGGTGTTAGCCATTGCACTCATGATGTGTCTATCCCAATACATTTGTCCACCCTAAACCCATTTTTTTGTCCACCCTGGGAATTTCCCAGTCTAAAAGACACTGATGCTTTCCTAGAAATTATAAGCCTGTCCACCCAAAACTACGAATTTTCATTGGCTACGATAGACCTGACATGCATTTAGTGGAACATTCACTTCATGTGGACTCTATCAGAGTTCAGTCCTGGACGCAATTGCGGCACATTGTTGAAACGCGTAGCGTACATAGCCTGCTCCCCACCCCTGCACCGCCCACCCTCAACAACGTGACGGCCATTCACACACGCCTTGATTCACCTGCTGCAGGCACCTCCTGCAGGCACCTCCTAACCCCAAATTACCTCGCGTAACAGGTGTTCATCCCACACGCATGCGGTGCACCCAGGCACATGCACATACACTTGTGGACCAACCTGCTCAGCCCTCTGGCGTTTACTTATGATATTCCCTCATTCAAATCACACAGAATCAGACCCCAAAACAAGGGAAAACAATATGTTCGCCAGACAGGGGCGTCTCCAACCTATGCGCGCGTGGTGTTGATGGGTTCACTGGCCGGCAGATTGCAGTCTACGTCTCTGAAGCCAAACTTGCTCCACGTGGACGCAACCTCAAGCAAAAAACTGTTGGGACAAGTACATTCGCAGTACTACAGCCCCTTGCCGCTGCATCTCATCTGTTGCACAACGGCACGGCCTGGGCAGGGCAACATCAAGCATCGTAACCCGAGTGCCGCAACGCGGGCGCAGCGGCACCGGACGTGTGCTAAAGCAGGTTGCGGCCGACCTTCGAGAGGAGCGTACCGGCAATGGTATTGAAGTTGCTGATTAAGCGGCCGTTCGCTCACAGGTGGCCAAAGATGATCTAGACATTAGTGCAGGACCGCACGAGCAGGCGCGGCAACCAGCTTGCACGCTCAAGCAGTTATGGAGGAGGACGAGCACGGAGGACGCTTCGTTTTGAGGCAACTCAGCAGTGTTGGGGGCCCAGGGTTGCTCGCACAGCCCAGCGGCAGCCTCCCCGACGAGTTGATCCGCAGGCTGAGCGTATATGATCCGGTAAGTGATCAAACACGCTCTGGTGCACGGTCTACTTAGATCTCGGCTCACTTGGGGGCCCACATGCCTATCTTAGGCTGCCAACGAGGGTGCCAGCACCTCAGGAAGGCTAAGTGTGCGGCTATTCTGCCAGGTGATTGCTGCAGAGTGCTTGATGTTCTTGCCCGAGTGCTCGCGCCTGGGGCGGGTCGTCGGCAGCGTGCTCCTGCTGCCGGTTTCAGGCGCATGCAATTACACTACACCTGTAAGGAGTGATGTGGGTTGGCAGTAGCCACACACGGCGCGCAATTCGTCTCTGCACCATGATGAGGCTTTTGACTGTGCTTGGTTGTGTAGGAGCGGCATGAGGCGGGCGATGGCGCGTCAGCGGGCGACACGAGAGGCACAGGGCGCTCGCTCATGGTGGTCAACAAGTGGCGGCAAAAAGAAAAGCTCAAAACCACGGCGGTGGCACTGGTGAGGAGCCGCACGACTGGAACCTGCAGCCCCCGCCGCCTTGAGGCGAGCTGGCGCCCACAGCACATAGCAACAGCAGTGCTCATCTTCGCAGCTTGTCGCCGTTGCGGTCATGCCGCAGCCCCGGCCCACCGTTGCCGTTTTGTGCCGCTGCCTCAGGTGCTGTGTCTCAACATCGGGGTGGACCCGCCGGACGTGGTGAAGATCTCGCCCTGCGCGCGCCTGGAGTGCTGGGTGGACCCCCTCAGCATGCAGCCTGCCAAAGCGTTGGAGACCATTGGTGCGCGGCCAGGCGGCAATGCGGGCGCATGTGGGTTTGAAGCGTGGATCACTCTGCAGCCTGATGATGTGAGGCATGGGGGCGAGCCTGTCACACAGCATTGTGGTAGGCCGTGGCTCGCCATACAGCATCAAGCGCAGCAGCTTGCGGCTTGCTGGTTGTCTGAACCCCAACGCCTGACTGCCACGGCTGTGTGCCGTCCCTTTCGCGCTGGTGTGCAGGCAAGAACCTCCAGGCACAATACGAGCGGTGGCAGCCCCGGGCCAAGTACAAGATGCACCTGGACCCGACCCTGGACGACGTCAAGAAGCTCGCCGCGTCATGCCGCCGCACAGCCAAGCAGGAGCGCGTGCTGTTCCACTACAACGGCCACGGCGTGCCGCGCCCCACGGTCAACGGCGAGATATGGGTCTTCAACAGCAGGCAAGCAGCGGGGGCGGCAGAGTTGAGGGATGCGACAGAAGTTGGCGAGATGGCAGGGTGGTTGGCGTGGGGGCATGCGGGGCAAGTCATCGGAGGGAGGCAGGAGGGAAGCGGCCCCGAGGCGAGCCAGCAGCCGTGCAAGCAGCGCACCCCAAGCCTTCCAGCAGCTTGCAAAAAGTCTTTTGTGTTTGTGCTCGCATTCCACCATCTTGCTGGTCAGGCCGTGCGTTCGCGGCCCTGCTTTCACCGCTGCCGCCCTCCACCCTTCCCCCCGCCACCACGCAGATACACGCAGTACATCCCGCTCTCAATCTATGAGCTGCAGGCCTGGCTGGGCAC